ACCAGAACAGTGCATGGCACACAGTAGATGATTAATAAACTATTGTCTAATAGTCCAGCCACAAAATAAAAAGGGGCCAGAACTATGGTGGTAGCAGTTAGAGTGGGAAGATAGAGACATATGCCAAAGTTTTGCAAAAGCAATATTCATAGAATTTGGTAATAGCGAAGTAGCAGTGAAAACTCAAAAGTGACAGGAGATTTGTGGAACCAACTGCAGGAAGTTAGAAAAGACATAGATTTGAGGAAAAATCAGTTGTATTTTGGATGCCTGGAATTACAGAGGGAGTAGGCCAATGAAGCACAGAACTAAAATTAAAAAGTTTTAGAGCAATTTAGCTAGTGGGGATTGCTGAGGTTGGCAAAGTACATGAGATGTTTCAAGATGAAGGGCCTTACCCTCCCACTACATGAAGAGCAGAAACCGAAAAATGACCTTCTTTGTACAACAAATAGTATCACTTCAAAATTAAGTAATAGTTTTTGAGGGTCCAGAGTCGAGTCACAAACTAGCTGCTCAAAAGCTAATTTATTACACCTGTAGATCATTTTGTTTAGATTACATAATTTTGGCTTGTTTTAAAGATCATTGTCAATATTTAAAAATCATGTAACTCACATGTCTCTTCACCTTGGGAGCCGCGCAAACTATTTTTCAAGCTGCATATAACACACACAGAAAACAATAAAAAAATAACAAATTTTTCATTGAATTAGAAAGGATCATTTTGTGTTTGAAGTTTTTATTCTATTTTCATAATAAAACACTGTGGCCCCAAGAAAAAAAAATTTTTTTCCCCCCAGTGTGGCAGTCAATGTGTTAAGTGACTCCAATTCACTACCCAATTCATCTCATTTGTGCTATCCACTGGCCCCTGTAGGTATTGGAGTTTGCAATTCCTGGCCTAGTGGTACTGGCAGCTGTAATGACAATGATAACAATAAAAACAGTAATGGTAATAATAGCACACTGAGCATCTAGCTCCAGGCACTGTTCTAAGTATGCCACAGAGATCATTTGAGGGAGCTACCATAATATTATTGTACCATTGTACAGATGAGAAAACTGAGACAGAGGTTAAAGGACCTGCCTAAAAGTCAACTGCCAGCAAGTGTTAAAGGTGAGATAAAAACCCAGACTTAAATGTGCAGTTGCCAAATAGTATTCAACTTAAATAACTATACGAACCTGAGTCTTTTTTTGAAAGGCACCTCCACTTGAGCCACAAAGACTTGTGCTCTTTTCTGCAGCGCATACACAGACACGCTCGCCCTGTGTGACTGAGTATTTCTTCTACCTGTGATCACTGATCTAAGATGAACTCAACGGTTTAGCTCCTCACCAGAAAGCATAGACTTTGGGTAGTGGGGAGGGGGAAGTGGTAGTGGCAAGGAAACTCATCCTTATTTCTATCTCCAGTAAACAGAAAATGCACAGATACGACTAACCAACTTCAGAAAACTTAAGCTCTAATTGGAGATAATCAGCACACTCAAAGGGTTTTAAGGACATTTAGAAAGAAACGTGGGTAGGTATAAATGGAAGTTGCAGAACACATATCCAAGGCTGAGGGCAGACAGGCAACAGAATAAGGTGCATCAAGAACACCATTTGGAGGTGGTTTCAGTCCGGGTTTTGAAGTGTGCAATGTAAAGACATCCACATTAAGAGAACGGGTTTCCTAGAGGCCACACTGGGCACTCTGGGCTCCCTCCTAAATTATCCGTGGATGTCAAAGGAAGTTTGTTTAACAAAGAAGAACGAAGAACAATGAGGAAACACTGTGGAATATATATGGAACACAATGAAAGAATTTGAAAGATCAGAAAGAAAGGATATTTGACTACATTGAAAAAAGTGAGAATTGGAGTGAAAAACAAAAGCCCCAGGGTTCTAAAAAATCTTGACACATGAAAGTGTGAATTGGGAAAAACCAGTCAAGTCAAAATGAAAATGGTGTAAACAAAGTATTTAAGTCAAGAATAAACAATTCACTAACAGAGATAACTAAAATCTTTTTTTTTTTTTTCTGACAACACATTTGAGAAATGTGAAATAGTGGTGTTAAGAAGCAGGTTGCTTGAGCTAAAAGGATACACACATCTGGGAAAGGACTATGATAGCAGAAAAGTGATGGAGAATTACTTTGTCACACCTTGACTCCAGAAAAATCCATTCATTTTCCTGTGTAGCTACAAATCCGCTTTTTCTTAAAACTGTGAGTGGTACTACAGATGGAATGAAATAGAACCACCACAATGAGCCAGTCAATGAGCCTGAATTTTCTTCCAAGTCTTTGCTACATGCTGGGGAAAAAGAAAACTCTTTGTTGAATGGCCACTTTGTATTACATGCTAGTCTAGGCCCTCTGACTTCATTATTTCATTTAATCATCACTGCAATTGTGTAAGGTAGACACGATAAATATTTTAAAGATGAATATGAAGCTCAGAGAAGTGACAGAATTCGCTTAAGTTCACACCAGCTGCTAGGTGGCAGAGCCGATTCTCAAATACCTCTCAAGCTTTTATCCATCCCCCAGTTGTGCTCTGGAATGAAGCCCATCTGGGTTAGAATCTGGTCCTGCTACTTACTTATCAACTTTGTGGTCTGAGCCTTATTAGCATTCCTGGACTTCAGTTTTCTCTTCTGTAATTGGACAGACAATATCAATTCTCTTAGGGTTGTTTTGAAAGAATTAAATTAGTGGATTCACTTATTCATCTGTTCAAATGATGGGCTGCTGAAAGAGGAAAGTGAAAAAATGGGGGACAGGGGCTTGATAATTGATCAATGGATCAGAAATTTTGCTGAGGTGAAAGCATTCCTAGAAAAGCAGTATTAAAGTAGGTGAGTTCTATGGGCAGTGGTCAAAGTATGGTGCTCCCGGGAGAGATCTCAGAATGGACTCGGAAGTCAACATAAAGAGAATGCCAATGGCAGCAGGTAGCTTGGTATATAGTAGAAATGGAGGAACAGAATCCTGGGGACAAGGAAGTTGAGAAACTGAAAAGTCATGAGTAATGCATACAAAATATCTAGAATTCAGCTGAGCCTCAGGAGATGCTAACTCTAAAACTAGCGTAAAAAATTGGAAACAGCAAACATAGACAACATATTCTTGTCTATATATTAAAAGAATGAAGGTGAAAAAGTCTGAGTGGCACAGAACACGTGACACATCCCAGTTGATGCTGTAGAAATGCATTTTAAAGGTGTAACAGTGCAGTTCACCCCGGCTCCTATTCACCTGCTCCTGATGGCTCACTTATACTCATATACTTCTGCTGGAGGTATTTAGGTGTTCTGTTAGTTTTTGTAAGAGTAAATAAAACAGTGAGGAAGAAAAAAAATCCAAATGAAGTAGAACGTGAAATGTTAACAAAAATTTCCAGGCAATATTTACTACCAATAAACATCTATACTTCAGCTGCTCCTTCTGCCTAGAAGGTTCTTCCCACAGGAATTCACAAGGCTGGAACCCTTACTTCCTTCAGATACCCGGGCAAATATCACCTTATCAGAGAACTTTTCTGTCCTTCCTATGCACATCCCCACCAACCCCACTCACTCACTCTCTTCCTTTCCCTGCTTTACTTTTCTTCATAGCACCTATCAGCACTGGATAGAAGATAGATTTGTTTATTGTCTTTCACATCCTCCCTTCCTGAGCTCCATAAGGGTGGAGACTTTGTTCACTGTTTTATCTCTAGTATCTAAAACACTTGATAGATGCTTAATAAATATTTATAACATTTAAAAAATAATCTACTTTAAAATTCTTTAGGGTCTTAAGTACTCAATAAAAAGAATGGTTTCCCATTTTCACACGTAAAAGTTAAGAACTAAGGTTAAAGTGAAGAAAGTAAACTAAAGTGTCTGGTCTACTATTTTTCCTTTTTAGCCCTCCTTAAGATCAGGGTTGAGGTAAAAAAATAAACTCTTACTTACTTCCTTTAGGGTTCATAGCCCATGTGCTCATTAAATCCAATTTGCTCAGCTCACAGTTCTGTGAAATGCACTACGCCTGCGACAGTCTCCACCAACGACACCACCTTTCAACCTCCATGGTAGGAGAAAACACTAAAAAGAACTTTTGTAAGCTGGCTTACTCAACTAATACTTTTGGGGAGAGAAGGAAAGGATAATACATGTTTACATGGACTTTATTGCTACTTATAGAGAAAACATACTGAATCAGAGTATGCCTGAAAGCTAAACATTAAGATGGTGGTTCCACTATTCTCAAACCCACACATCGACTAAAATGGACTGTATGTACTTTTAAAGTGAATAAGCACAAGAAGTCTATTCAGTAAGAAAGGTCAAATGTCTGTCAGAAAATCTAAGATCTCAGAGGCAATATTTTATTTCAAAAGTAATAAATAATATGGTCACATATTAATTGGTGAGAGTTACAATGATGAAAGCCCTTAAAACTCATAAAAAAAATGGAATGATTTCACAGGCTGTTCGTATATCTCACAATTTTATGTTTTCCAATGACCTATTAATCTAAATTAAAAATTAAATACACATTAACTCACCAACAGTGATAAAGATAACTTTAAGGCTAAGAAAAAGCACTAATCACAAAGAATTTCAAATAAATGTTATCAAGCAGTCCAGAAGTTTTCCTAATTATAAACAATATAGCTGTGTTTCAGTTTAAAGACTAATATACACCTAGCTTCACCAAAACACTTGGAAAAAAAATCATCCATTACTTATTTTGTTTAAAACATAACATGAAACTTGTAATAAATCCTCTTTTTGTTTTTTTTTAAAGGGTGACCACCTGAAAAAGGTTCATTCTCAGCACCATTCTGATACCTATCTCATTAATGAAGCAAAAATGTCTTTAAACCTAAAGGGTTCACCTATTTTGGCCTTCAATTACAAATGAAAAACCACTAATATTCATTATAATAGTTTAATAAACAATTAGAAACATTATCGGAAAAAACACTTTGTCAATGAAAAAAAAGTCTCTGATGCAATGAGTATTTGATCATTTTATTCCCAAAATATAAGCAAGACTTACATCCCGTTCTGGTGAAACTGTTCTCTTCAAATAATTTTATGTGGAGGACCTTGAGATGTATCAATTATAAAACATGTTACAAAGAAGACATTTTTAAAATTTACAAATACAAACCAGTACTTTATACAAGAATTCTCTATAAAGTTCACCAATCGATGTAAAAAATAATCTGTTTCAACTTAATATAAGGCATGTCCAGTTTATGTCATTTTGTAGAATTATTTTTGCTTTGCTGGAGACTTTTCCCTTCGCCGCTCCTGATTTTTCTTTGATTCTCTGGATTGTTCAGAGTACCTGCTAGATTTTTCCCATTGCCTCTCGGCACCATTCTGATACCTATCCTCATCACTTCTAGAGCCTGAATGTTTTCTATCTGTTTCCCTTGACTTTGATCTATCTTTTCTTCTAAAATTTTCACTGTCCTTATTTCGGTGTCTGTGCCTCTCATTCTCAGAAAAAGAATGTCTTCTCTCTTCTCTCTTCTTTTTAGGATCACCATGCTTATTTTCCAAATCTATGTGCATTTCTTGGTCTCTGTCATTCACGACTCTACTGTAATTATTTCGTTCAGGAGGAACACCTCTGTCGGACATGTATTTCCTTATGGGATCTCTCCAATTTGCATCTCTTGAATTTTGATCTCTGTGTTTTTCTGACCTTCTCTCTCTCTCAGTCCTTGTTTCCTGGTGCCTTTGTTCTAGTCTTCTTTCTTCGTGTTTCCTATCATTTGTTTGCTGGCTCCTGATCAATTTATCTACTTCTTTACTTCTGGTCTTCTTTTGTCCCTTCTTTCTTGTTTTTTTAGCTGCATTTGTAAAATGAAACACAGTTAGTTTTTGTTTTTGTCTTAATTTCATAATTTAACTATCACATTTACTGATACATTGTAGGTTTACTAATTCAGATAAACTGGATGCAAAGCCAAGTTGATTGAATGGAAAGTATGATGACAGAACATTTTACAAAATGCATAATTTTTAAGAATATACCATATCTCAACATTAGTTACCAAAGTACTATTTTGATCCTTAGACTCAAGACAGTAAGCAGAAGCTTTAAATAAACTATCGAAATGCTGTAAAAATTTGTATGAAGTGACTAGAATGGTACATTTCCGCTTACATATTTTATTTAAAAATGAAAATTCCAGCCCATGTGTATGTATCATATGAAATATTATGTCAGGTCTGGTACATAATCAAAATACAATGATCACACACATCAGCACCATCACTTCCTAAACGTGAGAGGAGTAGAATTGGGTTTGCTTGACAGCACAAACATACATTTCTCAGATGAAAAACTCTTCCTACAAAAAAACAATAGTTCTGCTCTCTGATGCGATTGTAGAGGCACTGACTGCACTAGTAAGAGAAGATGTGTTAAGATACAGTCACAGGCTTTATGAGACTTGGTTTGGTTTCACAAAGGCTTGGTTTCTGAAAAAACTCTCTAAAAATGCCTTCAACTATTTAATTTTACTGATATAACCACAAATATAAATATAAAATAATTATACTGAAATAACATCACTTTAAGCTATAAAACAAATTTAATCAATTTATCTGTGTTTTTTAATTTAGGTACATAAATAAAGGTGCTGAAATGACCAACATTTCTGTCAAATTGACATGTATACAGAAAGAAGAAAATATGGTAGAAAATTGCCTCTCCTCACCCTAACTCTACCCAAACCTCACTGTGCCAATCTCTCATTTCTTCTGCTAAATGCCTACCCTTGGCACACAGTACAGTCAGTTGGTCTGCCACTAAGGACCTATTTCTCTGGTTCCTATCAAACAGCTCAGCTGAGCTGCAGCTACCCAAGCAGAAGCCATCTGGCTCTGTGCTAAACCAACGTCTCTCTGACCCTACTCTACATCACTCTCAGGGCTTTATTGACATTAAAACCCAGCCATTTAACAACATGCAATCTCCTCTCCCTTTGCTATGTTTGTTTTACAATCTCCTAATTTGGGGGAAGTTCATACTGCTTTTATGCTATTTAATATTTTATTAATAAAACAAAGTTCTCTACTGAAATTGTATGATAAGTCAAATTAATTTCGAATCAGCAAGTTTCCTTATTGCAGCAATTCATGCTGTGTTATCATCTGTTCTCAAAATGGATATCATGAAATAACAAATTCTGTAGAATTTAAAAAGGCAAATGTTAAATGAACAATGTTTATATATTTCAGTTCAAGAATAAAAGTTCCTGTAAGCAAATGGAATCTTGCTCTGATAATACAAAACACAAAGAGCCCCACAATTCTGGATGCCACATAGTATACAAAAAATCTTTGAAATGTTAGTAACAAGCTAGGGAACACAAGTACAAAGATCAGTCTTCTAACTTAAGGCTACAGGGAAAAGTACTACTTCAATGAAATATGGCATTAAAAAAAAACGAAAACAAAAACACAAGAATGACATGCATTTTGGACAAGCAGACAATCCTTGTTTTGACCAAGATACTATAACAGAAGAAAGCAGAATTGACCTTGTGTGAAACAACATATACCTTTTCAGAACATGTGAACCAGAATCAAACTTTGAAAAAATCTTTTACTGCAGCATTTCCACTTCTAAGTAGGATAGAGAAGACAGTAAAAAACCTGTGCTCCTGCTGAAAACAACTCGAAATGCCAGATAAAATTTTTAAATCTTCCGTTGAAAGGCACTAAAGATCTGGAACAACTTGTGATGCTATAATGGAAGGAAGTGATCAAAAAAAGGATAGGGATAGGTCAAAAGTACACAGAAGTCAAGCTGAAGGAACTCCTAATTGCCAAAGCTGAAATGATTTGAACAAATGATTGCATTGAACTTTAACCCAAAGGTATAAGATAAATAACCATGAGTCCATAGTGATATAAATATATAGTTGAATAAATAAATAATCGAGGAAAGAAGGACAACTCTTTCTTACAGAAGAAATGAAATTACTAGATGTAAAAGAAAATAGAAAAATAGAAAATCACCATTAGAAAAACACCATAGCAGTAAGTGTCGCAGACAAGATCCAAAGACAGATAGTAAAATTAGTGAGTAAAAGCTGGAGGACAAAGATTTGCACAGTATCAAATTACCCCCTACAAGACATTAATTTTACAGAGAAAAACAGTTTCCATGAAGACATCCAGCAGACACCACCTCACTCAAGTGATCAAAGTTATGGTCACCAAAAATAAAATGTATCAATACGATAAACCCCTTGAGGAGATGCACTAAAAAGGCCATACCATTTCCATGGTATTCTTGCCCAAAATACCTAACCTCATTCTAATCATGTGAGGATATCAAACAAACCTCTGCAATGAGGACAGCTACAAAAATAAGTGACCAGAGGACTTCAGAAGTGACAAGGCCAATAAGAACAAGGAAAGCCTAGAGGAAGTATAATAGACTGCAGAAGACTGAAGAGAATATTATTAAATGTGAGAATCCTGAAATAAGGAAAAGAACATTAGGGGAAATACTGGTCAAATTCAAATAAGATCTGTGGTCTAGTTAAAATTAATGATCCCCAATGTTAATTTCCATCATTGAACTATGGTTATGTAAGATGCTAACATTAGGGGATGTTGGATGAGGTATATGAAAATTCTCTGTGCTATCTTTGCAACTTTCCTATAAAATTCATTCAAGATAAAAAGTTAAAAAGTAAAAGTCATCAGAGAGCTAGTGAAAAAACAAGGACTAGAAGAGCCAAAATTGATGAGAAGGCAGAAGCATAGAGAAGTTAGCTGACGTTTATAGCCACTTTCTCCCGGGCAGCATCTGCTGATTCAGGGCTGCCGCTGAGGGGCAGGAAGACAGCAGAGCTCTGGAACCCTTGCAGGGCTATAGAGACAAGAATGGGGCTGGTTATTTGCAATACATGTATGTGCAAAAGATATATATCCAAAATACATAAGGAACTCCTGCAAATCAAAAGAAAAGATGACTTAATAGAAAAAAACTGACAAAGACTTGAGAAGTCACTTAACAATAACAAAATATTCAAATGGCCAATAAGATACAAAATGGTGTTCAACTTCAACAGTGATCAGGAAATGCAAATTAAAACTAAAACCACAACGTAATACCACTACACATCCAACACAATGGCTAAAATGAAAAAGACAGTCAATGTGAAGTGTTAGTGAGGTTGGGAGCTACGGAACTCTCATATGTGGCTGGTGGAGTGCACGCTGGAATAACCACTTGGAAAACTGGCAGTATTTACTGAAGCTAAATACACGCACACCTTACAACACAGTGATTCTACCTAAAAATATATATACCCAATAAAAATGTGTACATATTAATAAAATACATAAATACACACACATATATATGTATATAGCTATCAAAAGATAGGTACAAGAGTACACATGGAAACACTATTTGTAAATCTAAATGTCCATAGAGTGAAAAGTGTAAATATACTGTGATATATTCATATATTGGAAAACTATATGGCAATGGGAATGGATGAATCTCACAAGCACAATATTGAAAAAAATAAGCCAGACACACAGGAGTCTATAATACATAATTCTAAAGTTAAAAACAGGCAAGACTAACCTATGGAATTACAAATAGAATAGTAGCCACCATAAGGACGGAAGGGTAGTAACTGGGAGAGGGAACATGGAGAACCTCTGGGGTACTGATAATTTTTGATGTGGGTGCTAGTTATATGGATGTGTTTGTTCTCTTTATGAAAATTTATATAGCATCTCAGTATTATAAATGTAAGACACTACAGACTGCAACAGTGATAGATGATTATTTACATTATTAATTGTGGCTTTTAAACAACTGAACTCTAAAATAAATAAGCAATCAAATTATTTTCTTCTCTCATTATAAATATCACCAGAAATATACTTGTTAGAAAAGAGCAAGATAAATTATGAATGAGCTTCACTACCTGGGGCAGAGTTGTGACTGCCGGCAGATGAAGAACCGCTCTCTTCACTGGAAGACTCTGAACTGCTGTTGCTGCTGTCGGCATCAGAGTCAGAGGAATCAGACTCTGAAGAGGAGGATGCTGAAGAGGAAGATGGGGAGGATTTATTTTGCTCAACATCTGGTTTCTGTGCCACGATGACCTTTGGTGTATTTTTGAGATGCTCACGCAATTCATCCCTAATGAAAAATATAATCTGTTAGATTCTGCTTCAAAGGCAATTGTGAGATAATTTCGTAAGTTGAAAATAAAATTCTAAAAATAATTCTTACGTTAAACCTCCAAGACCTATAGAAGTAAAGAAGTTGATGGCAAACCGAGTGTTTCTTGGATTATCTCGGGGTAATAATCCTTCAAAAAATGGCTGTAGGGTTCTAAAAAAGGAAAGGAAAATGAATAGAAGAGAATGGATTGCTAAAGACAAAAAGGCAAAATCCTTACACCAGTTTTCAGATTTTCTATATATTAAATTAGCAAATGAAATATGAACAAGTGGTTTATTCCATTTATTAGGTTAGGCTACATGCTATCTAAATGAAATGAATAGGGTCAGATAATAATTTACTAAACCTGATCTCTACAATTATGCCACAGAGGAGGTTTTTTAACAATTTTTTGGTATGCAAACCAACACACATAGAAAAGATAAATGTATACACACACATATGCACACACATGTGAATATACATATAGCATGCATGTATACATATGTATTAATATATACATTGGTTTGTACAAAAAATTTTAAAAACCTCTGCTGTGTGTACATATATTATATATATATATACACACACATGCACTCATACACAGCATGTGCAAAACACTAGGGGAGAAGGGGAAGTAGTCAACAAAAGGGAGATATCAAGGTTGAAGACAACATATAATTACAAAATCTACAAAGTAAGATGAACAGAAAGATAGTAATAATACAGTGTGGTTTTGAGTGTCACACTGAATTACTTCTCAGTGGAATTAGGGAAAACTGTCTCGTAGAAAAAAGAAAAATACCGAGAAAAAGAATGTTTAAGAGTTTGCTAGACAGATCAAGAAAAGAGGGGACTGCCAGCAGTGGAAACACAGGTAAGGAAGCATGAAAGAGCCAGATGTGCTTAACAAGCCTGGAAATTTGGCTGTGGCAGCAGCGCAGCTTACTGAAGAGCACACAGATGAGCCTGGTCAGGTAGACAGGGGCCAAATACATGAAGCCAAGAGAAGTGGATGGAGTAGTGCAGAGACAGTTTGTGGAAGTCAGCATAGACCTTTGGTCAACCTAGCCCTGGAGAGGCAGGCTGAGAAGGAGACAGAGACTGAGGAGAGGAATGAGAGAAAACTGAGGAGCCACAGAGAGCAAGTGGTCGACTGTGTGAGTGAGGCAGAGGAGTGAGGGGCCTGAAGACTGAGGAAGACTACTAGATTTGGCAAGTGGTCATGGAGAAATCCGAAAGGATGATTTCAGTAATGTGAACCGTGCAGAATTCAATCTAAGAGGCAACGAGCAACCTGAATAAACAGGAAATAAGGCAGTTGAGAGAGAGATTACATAATAGTTCTGGAACAGGACTCTAGTTCCATGTACTAATTTGAACAATTACATGACTAATATTTACCTGTATATATTCATAATTTTCCACTGATAATAAAATATTAGTTATCATTCTCAGGCTTAAAATTAGGGTAAAAATGAAAAAAACTATAATTATCACTGGAGAATTCCAGTGAGCATGCAAAAATAATTTAGTTCTAACTAAATTAAAAACACATTAATTCTGCCTTCTTTCCACCTGAACTAAAAACTATTATTAAAAGTTGCATGTTGTCCTATGCCACATAACATGAGGTTCAGAGCAGTGACTAATGGATGAAGTCCTAGAGGGCTTAACATTTGCTTTTACGACCAGAGGTGGACTTATGTCTACTAAAGTGGGGGAAAACCCAAGGTCAGTAAGAATAAAAAGTGCTTAATGAGAAACTTACTCATCCTTTAATCTTGCATTAAGTTTAGGGAGACCCATGTATTCACACAGTTCCTGGAAAAATATTTTAACAAAAATTCTACTGGATGATGTGGTGGTTTCTTCACTCAGTTTTATACATTCAAGAACCTGATAATTAAAATAAAAAAGGACAATTTTATTTTGATTTTCAAAAGACAGGACAAAGTGACCAGTATTGATAAGTTTAAGTGTTTCTCAAAATTATGATTTATCCTATTCTTCAACCAGAATTATCTCTGAATATCTTCCCTTATGCTGATATAAAGTTTAAGATTACTTCTCTATACTAATTTTCAAAATGTTAAGATGCTACAGAAATAGATTTCATTCTCTTTCTTGAGTAATGTGCTTTTTATAGCAGGAAAGATATCCTGCCTTGAGCATATAAAGTTGAAGCAAAGATTACTAGCTCCTGAACTTCACTCATCAAAATGTGGTGTCTATGAGGGCTTGGGGCAAAATGCCACTTAGAGCATTAGGCTATAGTTTTGTATAGTACATACAATACACAATAAAAGTAGACAGAAAGAATGATGGTTTATTCTGAATACTAAGATTGTGGCTTAAAAATTTAAACTTCTAGAGAGATATTTTAGGGCAAATAAAAATAAACGTAACCTCCAGTTTTTAAGGGTTATGTGTTCTAGGAACCCATTTGTTTCTCAATTGCTTAAAATTTTGACCTTCTTTTCTCAAAGAGGGGAAAAAAAAAAAAGTCAAAAATTAATATAATTAGGCTCCTGTGTTAGCTTACAAATGCCTATTAATGTAGCCGGACATACTTAGTATTTAAAGTACTACAAAAATTTACCCAATGTTTATAACCTTGATGATATTGCCTCATTCTACCATTAGGTATGGTATTCTACAATGTGATCCTCATCTTTCTTTCCTCCTGGATGTAATTTCTTTCTTTAAAAAAAGTAACTGCTTTAGTAACTTTGCTTTTATAAGCACACAGGCAGTGGCTAAATAGTGATGGTTGAATGAATAGCAGCTGTACACTAAATGCCAGCTTAATGAACGCATTTCAAATTCTGATCCAGTGCACATTTCCCCGTCAAGAATTTATCTTTCCTTGTTCTAAGTATCACTACATGATACCCTCCCTATCATTTACCCAACCTCAATATCTGCTAAGAAGAACACATCCCACTAGGACAATCATTCCTCTTGAATCCTAACAAGAGGACCCATTGAGAGCTACTTCCTTAGGAAACAGAAATTCAGAGACACATTTGCCACCAAAATTATGGCAAATATATATATGAGTGTACACACATTAAGTGTGTACACAGAGAAGATGAAAATCTGTAATATTTTTCCTGAAAATACTCCTAGCCATCACTATGAAAACACACTGTGATGTTTAGACTTAATATAATCCAAGACAGTATTTCTTATGTATTATTTACTTAGCTTTTTGATTCCATATTACATGAACATAATCTAAAAGATAGCAGTTCTACTAAAAGTTTACTACACATTGCATTTTAAAGCACATTTCCTAACAGGATAAATATGGCTAGCTTATACTAATACCTATTAAAGAATAACAGGCAATTAGGAAGAAAGCATAAATATTGACCCATCTACTTACACTCCATGGAAGTGAATCGGTGTATAAAAGGTGAGCAAACATCTTGGCAACATTTCTCAATTTGTTTGTTTCCAAGCGATGGATGGTATCATACTGTTCTTTGAATATACTTTCAAAAGATTCCATGTATTCTTTTTTTAGCATGCAAAATCTCTAATAAATAAAAAAACTGAATGTCAGCACTATTAAAAATTTAATGTCAATATAATTATGAACATATTAAATCCTCCTAAACTTACTGAATCAAAACTCAGTATCTTATATATCTTCAAAGAACACACATTACATCATTAAATCTTTTTGTGGTGTATGATGCTCAAAAGTGGTTAGTATATACGGCTTCTATCTACCTGAAGTTATATGCCAAAACAAAATGATATATGTAGCTGACACATACATCTGTATATATACATATATACTTCTACCCTGTGGGTAGAGCTTGGATTTAAAAAAAAATAGCTTAGCTCATGCTTTACTTGTGTTGCCTGAACATGTATTTAACTTTAGTAACTGCTTTGAGAGTTTGAAAAGACAGCATTTAATTGTCCTCTACTGGGAAGCTGTTACAAAGCATATAAAATTTCAAAAAGTTCTAGAAAAATGATATGCAAAGTTAAGGAACTGCAAAAATAAAAAGGAAAAGGAGGACACTGAAGAGAGTGGGAAACCCAAGAAAGAAGAGAACAATTTGCTTGTAGTAAAGATATGCTATTATATTAGACCACACCACAAAACAGAATAATTAATTCACAATATTCATGTTATAAATTCCCTTAGTGTCTATTAAATTCCAACATGAAAAACAACGATGGAACTCACCCCAGCTAATAAGCCAAAAAATTTCTCATACGTCCTTTGTTGGGCACAGCAATCAAGTATCATGTTGCAGAGTTCTTTCTATTTGGAAAAAACATTACATTAGTGACTCAAAACACAATGGGGATCTATACTGTATAATTTACCAATATGATAGCAACTGCCTGCATCTTTAAATAAGGGTTTAAAATACTTCAAAAACTCTCTGAACTTAAGTAATTAGGACAAAATAAAAACCTTAATCTACGTTTAAGCATACAATTTTTGAAAGCCTTTGGTCTGGCAGACAGCTCCCACAGTCATTTATGCTAATTAGATTAATTATAAAATTCTAAATTCATATAAGTATGAACCACTTTAAGAAAACCTGGTATATGAAACAGATACACCAGGGAAAGATGGCATATATTGCATTCTTAAAGGATTCTATGCAGAACTCTCTTAAATATAGTCTCACCAACACAACATCTAACAGTTCATCTAACAATACATCTCCCAAAAATACAAACTCAATTGCTAAGGAATATATTTAGTTAGTATGGAAAAGGCGGAACATGATGTATCTTTACAGAATCATAAAGGGGCAGAACTTCAATGTTAACATAAATTACCTTCTGGTTAATAAAGAAAAAATGTATTTAAAAGAACAACAAAAAACCCCACCTCTGTGGCTGAATCTTCTCACCTCACAATAAGTGTTATGCATATAGATCTACCTATAGATGGATCTATACAAATAATCATTCAATAACTTCTAGAATAATATATTGTCCAATCAGCTGTTCAGATACCTTGAAAGCCTTTCTCCGAAAATTCTACTGAATTAACGATTAGGAAGTACCATCATCACAAATGATTGATATTTAACTAATAAGAAATTTTTAATTAATGAAAATTATTTATTAATTCCTGAAATAATCATAATGAAACATATACTGATTATAGTAATTTCATAGATGAAGAAACTCAAGTAACATAAAGTGAATAGAGACAAAATGAAAAAGGCATAAATTCATTCTCTGATAACCACTATAGAATTGACTAAACATCTTTTTCTTCAAAACATTTATCAGAAAGTTAAAAAAAATTTTCCCCAAATATAGTAACTGCAACATATTTATTTGCTTTCTAGAAACAAAAAGCATGCCCATAAAAATCAAATGTATATTCTTTTAGTTAATTTTTACCTTTGTATTTTCAATTAACAATTTTGACATTTTGTCATATTTAAAAAGATGGGATGCAACCTAAGTAAAAATTGTAAAAACAAAAACAAAAACAAAAACAAAAAAAGAACTAGGTCAATAAGCATTTACTGCACATATCAATGTAAACAGTTTGTGTCAGAGACTCCAGGGGAAGGACTCAGGGCAAGAACCCAGAGGAAGCATAGAACAGACACTCTAAAAACTGTGCTGTCCAACATAGCAGCAACTAACTACATGTGGTTATTTAACTTTAAATTATTTAAAATTTAAATTTTAGTTTCTTAGTCACATTGGTCATATTCAGAGCACTCAAAAGCCATATGTGACTAATGTCTACCATACTGGAGGGTAGAGAATATACTTCTATCGCTGCAAAAAGTTCTATTGGATGGCACTGCTCTAGGTGTTGGTAATTTACTCAAGGAACAATCTACTCAAAGGCCTCGCTTTACAATCACAAGGTTCCTTTCAGATGCCATTATATGGCCAGATTTTTTTTTAAAAAAGATTAGTTTCAAGTTAATTAAAAAAATGTTTAAAAATGTGTAAGTTCTGAAAAGGTGTACTCTATCAAAATCTTACACAGTACTAAAAACTTCAAAAGTTTAGGCTTTTCTAAATTCTGCTAAATTTATGTTAACTTGATATATTAAACTTCATTTTCAACTTTTTCTACCAACATTGTGTTTTACAATAATATAGCAGTTAATTGGGTTTTAAACAATAAAACATAGTAATATGCTGATAGCACTGCTAATAGTTAGCACTACTTGCAAAACAAATTACTCTCTTCCCTAGACTAAATGCAATTATAAGTTATTCCCTCTGGCTTGTAATTAAATATTTTAACATTTTAATTAAATATTACAGCAATTTTAGGAGTCTTCTGAGTGCATGAAAATAGATGTACTAAGATATGCTTCCAAATATTATCAAACTATGTTGAGGTTAGCTCTAGAATAACTATCCTCTGGATTAATATCAATAAAATTTATAATTACTTAATTATATTCCTCAAATAATGTGACAAGATCATACAGTAATTTCAGTGTCAATTATAATTTAAAGATTAATTTACTAATTTATTTCCTTCCAATGATGACATACCAAGTGCAGCCAGAGTACAAATAGGTACTCTATTATTAATATACCAATAAAGAAACTTTGAAAGGGAAAATGTTTTAAATTTGAAAAGAATAAACTTTTCTCAAAATTCCATATCATGGCATTTCAAGAATGAATCTATAACCTAGATAAAAGATTTGCAAACTTTTTCGGTAAGGGACCAGTTAGTAAATATTTTACTGCTGATACTATAAAACTACTTAATCATGCTGTGTTATGAAAACAGCCATACACAATATATCAATGAATGAGTGTGGCTGTATTCCAACAAACTTTATTTATAAAAACAGGCAGCAGGCCTGAACCAGTCTGTTAACCCCCGTAACACATCATATTCAAAGCCTTAAGACAAAGAACTTACATCTTATAATGGCTTAGCTCAGATAATCAAGAAGATCTAGAAGAACCAGAAACTAAATGGCCTTTTAGGGCTGATACATTCACTGCAGCATCGGTGCCTGGTCTACCACATGTAAAGTAAGGTGCGAAAAACAAAACCACCAAAGTGTTGGCACAGGTTCTAAGGACCTAAAATCTAGATGGGCAGGGAGCAATATACACAATCTACATTAAAAAAAGAAAAAACTAGAAGAAAAAATAAGAATCTATCAGCCTGCTCTTTATTATCCTTAGCATTAATATTCTGATACTTTGAACAGTGAAGTATACCAAGTTATAAGACAATGAGTTCCACAGGGCTAAGTGGGAGCTATATGTACTTTATAGATTACTGAATCTCTGAGACCTTGCAGAATGCCTGATACATAGTATATGCTGAATATGTTTTTTGTTGAATGAACATAATGAATGAAAAAAATAATACAGATTCTTCTATGTCAAACTAGAGCGATGTTAACAACATGTGCTGTGATCTTTGTAATTTCCACCACAAAAGAATGCTTCAATGTATAAAGAAGATGGAGCAGGTAATTCATTGAAGAACAAATTTCCTATTGTATTTAGGTCACAACTGGATTTACAGGAAAGCACTCAGAAATTCTACGTGAAGTGTGGTATTTCAGGACTCTTTCTCTTTTCCCACATCTCATTTAAGCAGACAATGTAATTCACTGGTGTAGCATCTATGAAATACCCCAGAGTACCTAAGTTTTGAGTTATTTTAAAATTATATAAAAGCTACTTTTAAAAATGAATATTTAGCACTGAGTTATTGTTTCACTTCATGAAACCTAACTATTAACTGTCTTAAATATTTTTATAACCAACATATATTTCCTAATAGAAGAAAACTACCAACGTACTGTTTGACTCTCAGGAAACTCCATTTTCAGCAATTTGTGAGCACATTCTTCAAAATCTAAACTGTGGAGATAAGATGATCACAATAGGTTAAAAGCTTGCAGCATAAACACTAGCACTCTTTTATATATAAGAATCTTATTTTAATAATTGTTTTGAATAATCTTTTAACTATAATTTCATGTTATTATATCATGTATATAAAGAAAACATAGCTCTTAACTCTAAAAGAGTGAAGTACCAACACATACTAAAACATGGGTGAACCTTGAATTATGTTAAGAAGCCAGACACGAAAGGGTATAAATAGTATGATTTCATTTACATAAAATATCCATGCAAATCCATAGACACAGAAAGTAGATTAAGGGAATAGGGAGTGATTGCTCAGGGTTGTTTTAGAGTGATGAAAATGTTCTGGAATTAGATAGTGGTGGTGATTGTACAACTTTGTGAATATATTAAAACCACTTACAATCATGCATCACTTAACAATGGGGACACTTTCTGAGAAATGCATTGTTAGGTGATTTCACCATTGTGCAAACATCATAGAGTCTACTTTTATAAACCTAGATGGTATACCCTACTACATACCTAGGCTGTATGGTATAGCCTGTTGGTCCTAGGCTACAAACCTCCACAGCATGTTACTGTACTGATTATTGTAGGCAACTATAACACAATGGCAAGTATTTGTGTATCTAGACATATCCAAACACAGAAAAGGTATGGTAAAAATACAGTATTATAACCTTAAGGGACCACCACAGTATATGGGGTCTGTCACTGACTGAAATGTCATTATGTGGCACATGAATGTCATCATACACTTTAAAGGGGTGAATTTTATAGTATGTGAATAAAATCTCAATTTTAAAAAGGCAAAAATAAAAAGAAAAAAGATGAAAGTACATACATCGATTTTTTATTATTCCCTCAAATGAACCAACCTCAAGCCATAACTAGTCAGATAAAAGGCTTTATATTATATATGATTTTCTTCATTTTAAGGTAAAAAAACAATAAAAAAATATGTAAGTTTCTCTCATTACTGCAACATCGTTATGTTTATCAAATGTTCTTCTGCTACAAATTGGTCACTAAAGCACAATGGTAGTAAATTCTTAAGTGTTAGCAGTATCTCTTCTGTCCAACATTAAAGGATAATAATGGTACATAAAGAATTTATTAACTGTTTTGATTTGATAATCTAGTAATACAGGATAAACCTAAGTACACTAAATCTCTGGAACTAGGTCCCAGATCTCAAAGAGTACTTTCTAATGGTCAAGGTATTCATGAGAGCTAGCTATTTTGTTCTACCTTGTTTTGTTAAATAAATCTAAGGAAGATTAGATCAATAACTATATTCAAAAGCTTAGATAAAACAATAGGTAGGATGCTTAACAATGAAGACAAAGAAATAAAAGCTTTAAAACATTAGTTTTTTCATAAATATTTATAACTAGCTAAAATGTATTTTTTTCATCAGTCACAAATGCACACCTAAATTAGTGACCACTGGAGGTAAAAACACCTATAGGATACTATCCTGATTTAGGTTTATACATAGTTAGGATTTCAGAAGGATTTAGAGATACTCTGATTCAACCCTCTCATTTTTATAGATGAGAAAAAAGTGATCATAGGTTTGTAAAACTTGTTCCTGGCCACAAAGTCCCTGAAGTAGGACTTGAACATTCTTATACTTTCTCACCCAATATTTTGTAAACAAAGGCTATAATTAATATTTAATTTGAAAAGTAGTTTCTTAGACTATATTACGTGTTTAGCGAAACCAGGAAAAGTCCTAATTAAGACAGGAGCAAACATAGGTTAAGTTTCTCGTGCTTACATTATAATAAAATCTGTGTGGAAGAGTAAATGATATATTCTATCTTATTGTAACTACACCTACTATTACTAGATATTACAAACTTATGTATTTCTCTTCCAAGTCGAGAAGAGGTGAAAGATGCTCCAGGAGCTCAGCATGACATCTAGTGCTTAATCACCATTTTTACAAGTTATTCTGGTTACTACCCAATCACAAGGGTTTCACATTTTATAAAAACTAAGTACAAAAATAGTAAATAAACAAAATAACTTGCAAGGAAAAACATATGCTTTTACAGCATTCATATGAATTGAATTTAAAATACTTTCAATGTACTTTACCTAAGAAATTAGCAATCTCAATTTGCTTATTGCTTTTTGATTCAGAAATAATGCTAATATATTTGTATCTTTTGTAGAATGTTCAAACCCTCATTTTTTTGGTAACAGCAGTATAAAATCATCACCCACTGAAAAATATGATTAGGAATTTAGTTTTGCAGTTCATCTGTATTTCTCAGCTTCTATTATTTATTTGGTTTCATAAGCACAACAGAGTAATAATCCAGAATGGTACAAGGCAATGGAATGAAAAGAAAACTAAAATGAAAAAGAAACCTACCAGGAAAGAGAATTTATAACAGGTAATATTAAATAATCACCTAACATTAACATTAAACTGTAGTTGATAAACTTCAATAATATAGCAATACCAAAAGTATAAAAAAAGATGTGACCTTTTTTCTAGCCTTTATAAAAACAGAATTAGTACTCAGACAAAAACCTTAAAATTTATGAAAAATGGGTTGGGCATGGTGGCCCACACCCATAATCCCAGCACTACAGAAGGCTGAGGCTGGGAGTTCGAGACCAGCCTAGGTAACATATTGAGGTCCTGTCTCTACAAAAAAAAATTTTTAAAAATTAGCCAGGCATACTACTGGTGCATGCCTATAGTCCTAGCTACTCAGGAGGCTGAGGCAGGAAAACCACTTGAGCCCAGGAGTTTGACGCTGCAGTGAGCTATGATCACACCACTGTACTCCAGCTTAGGCAATGAAGAGCCTCCTCCCTTAAAAAAAAAAAAAAAAAAAGAAAAGAAAAATGAAATTTGTGAAAAACAAGTCAAGTAGTAGATGAAGAAATTTCCTTTTATTTACTAAGTGCAGTATCAAGGAGAAAGGTAATTAAATGACAGCCTATTTTCCTTTTTGTTGTTTTATTTGAAAAGTATTTATTGACTCCCTACACTAAGATTGTTTTTAAATAACACTAATTATAATATTAAATGAATTAAATTTTCTTGGTATTTTAGTTCTTAGGTTGCTAAACCAAATGAATTCCAGGTTTAACACAAATTAAGTGACATTTACTAAATTACTGTCCTCTTTATATGATGCCAGTTTTTAAGCTGTATTTACAAATGATTTTGTTGATAGATCAACAAATGATTTTGTTGAAGAAACTTTAAATTGGGGAGGACACAGTAGTCTATCTCCCTCTGATGTTACAGCTTCAATAATGCGGTTAGACTAGAACATCATTTAAAAGCAAGAACAGAAAAGCATTATTTTCAATAGCAAAGACAACTGTGTAGTTTTATGTTTTATGTAAATAATATAGGGTAATTTAAAGAGCCGTAACAGTGAGAAGATAAGAGTACTGGTGAGATCAGTTAACAGAAAAAAACAACGAAATCCTCACACAATTCAGTCGCCAGAACAGTTTTGTTCCAAAGATTTTCAAAGGTGAACTGTTTGTATGAGATGCCCTCACAGCCATCTGACTTGACGATTACATTCTATTCTAGAATCCTAGCCCTGGTATACTACGAACATAAAACTTTTTTTAAAAAAATAAAACACTGGAAAAATAGACACTAAAAAATCTATAATCCAACCTCCCCCAAGATTACCACTGTTGATATGTTTATGTATTATTTCTAGAATCAGCCTATTTTTACAGTTAAAATAATACCACAAGCACAATTCTATACAGTTTTTTCCTACTTAACACTGTATCGGACCATTTGCCCATATTTAGAACCATTCTCCATTAACCTAATTTTCATTGGTGGCACAGACTGGACACTTTCGTTATTTGTGTTGGAAAATAATATTGTCTCCAAGTTTTTTTTGCACTAAGCAATTGTGTATATAATTCTGTCAATGTTTATTTCTTTGGAAATATAATAATGAAAAACAAAG